CCCCCCCCCCCTTCAAAACTGCTCTGGGACATTTATTTAGTTTTATGAATAGTTCATGAATCGGTCACTTTAACAGCCTACAAGCTCACTCTACTGTTTATTGCATTATATTTTGCACTACTGTTATGATCAACTCGTCCTGTTTATTCTTTATTCTGGTAATTCTGGTATTGTCATTTCCACTTAATCACCTCATCAGTACATAACTGTGACTATATAGAACCGGTATGCACACCTTCACTTTACTAAGTTTCTCAGGTTTATACTTTATATTGCACTATTGTTTACTCTGGCCTTGCACATCCATTATCTACCTCTCATCATGTTATTGTCTTCAGTCAGCGTCCCTTTGTCTCCTGTTAGTCACTATTGAGCACGTTGAATCAGAGGTCCTGCTGCTGTTCACTTTTATATTTTTTATATTTTTTTATATAACTAGTTGTGTTAGTTTATTTTTGCTAATGTTGTTGTTTGCTGCAAATTGAGTAGGAGTGTAACGCAATTTCAATTTCTATGTATGTCCTGTACATATGCAGAATTGACAATAAAAATCAATCAATCAATCAATCATGTGATCAGAAGTGTAACCTTAATGACCAATGAGATATTGTCATTGACCCATCCTCCAAGATAAACGTGCATTAATGAGGTTTCCCTTTACAGTAAGCAAAGGTAAAAAAAAAAAAATTTTTTAAAGGTGCTAAATTCTTCAGATTATTCAGATCAGTTACTGTATTTTATGCCTCGTGAACAGCACAGACTTTGGCTGGACTGCTGCGGGATGATGCGGACAGCACGAGGGAGTGACGTCGAGAGGACAAGGAGCCAGTGTGTGATAATGTCTTTTTTAGCCTCTTCAATTCTGACACTGAAGAAGAGGACTTTCATGGTTTCAGTGCAGAGGAGGATGGAGAACAGAGTGATGAGTGACTCTGGTCGCCCATCTGTGTTTTTTTTTTTTTATCTGTGTTAAATAAAGCTGTCTCCCTCATCCAGTTCAAGATGTGAGCTCAGCTGAACAGAAGTGCTCTAAGCAGTCAAGTCTGTACATATTTTAATAAAAGTGTTTAAATTATTTCTGTGTGACATCTTTCTGTGTACAGTACATGTGTTTAAATACACAGATCTATCGTAATTTTAAGCTTGCATCCGAACATTAAACGGAGCAGAGACAACAGGTGGGGCTAATTTCTTGTGGTGCCGTCGGTCAACATGATGAGGAAGTGGAGGTTCTGATGTAGTTTGCAGTTCTGCTGTGTGGGTCAGTGATTTATGCTGGCCAATCAACGGCTGCTGTCTGCTTATGTCAGAACCGAACCCCCGGTTATGCCCGCTAGAACTACCAAGAAGGTAGTCCCATAAAACGAGTTGAGTGGAGTAGTACCGACAGCGAGCGGGCCTTTAACTGGTGCCGTGTGGGGCAGAAACGATCAGTGTTGATACGGTGGCAAAGCTCAGATGTGAGATTTCAGAAATGAAGGGATAGAGTGAACTGAAGAGGCGTGGAGCAGAACGCTGCTAGTGTGACACTTCAAATGTGCGTCGGACATCTGCCTCGTGTCACTAAACTTAATGAAAAGACTAATTCTAGGGATCCTGTTAGTGGCTCACTGTTTTTTAGAAACCAACTACAAAGTTGCTGTATGTAATCATCAATATTCCCTCGGTAACAAATCTGTTTGTTGTTTACCCTCAGAATGGAGACAAAGACCCCAATGATCCTCATGAGAGAGGGGGACATTGACCCTAATGACCCTCAGAATGGAAATAAGACTCCAATGATCCGTATGAGAAAGGGGAGGGAGACATTGACCCTAATGACCTTCATGATGGAGACAGAGACCCCAATGATTCTCATGAGAAAGGGGGAGGGGGACATTGACCCTAATGTCCTTCAGAAGGGAAACAAAGACATTAATGACAGAGGGAGAGGGGGACATTGACCCTAATGACCTTCAGGATGCAGACAAAGACCCTAATGAAAGAAGAGAGGAACACTGACCCTAACAACCTTCAGGATAGAGACAAAGATGCTAATGACCCTCATGAGAGAGGGGGAAGGGGACACCAACTCTAATGACCTTCAGGATGGGGACAAAGATGCTAATGACCCTCATTACTTTATATGTTCCTTCCAAGCAGTTGGGACTTTCTTGTGGTTGGTTAATTTTATACCTGGTAGTGGAGCTGGAGGAGTCACTTCTGCGCTGACGTGACGTTTTTTTTGGAGGACTGGAACTTTCACTGAGTTTTCTTTTCTTCTTTGAAACCTTCTTTGTCTCATCAGAGGAGCTTAAAGTAATTAAAACAAAAAGTTTCATAAGATCTTGCATAACGGAAAAAAATAGTTTTGTGAATGTATTAAGGGAGAGCAAGGGAAAAGTTTTAATGAAAAACACCTACCTATGCTCTTCAGATATGTCCCTGAAACACATTTAAAGTTAGTTTATTTAACATACATTGTGTAAAATCAATCGGCGTTTGGAATGAATGTGTGAATTACGCTGGTGAAGATTCTCAGTCATCCAGGACATGGTAATTTTGAATGTATGAATTGATTTTTAAAAGTAACAATACCGTTTCTTTTTCTTCTTTCTGGATTTTTTCTTTTCTCTCTGAGGAGACGGGGAGGAACTCTCTGAACTGAATTATAAGAAAATAATAAATGTCAGCCTTTTGTCAGTCTGTTCTTTATTTATCTGCTCCAAGTCGTTCCTCTCACCTGTCTCTGTTTTTCTTTTTCTTCTTCCGACCGTGCTTCTTGGGAGGAGAATCTGAATCATCGGAATCTTCCACCAAACTGACAGAGAAATTAGGATTAACAAAATGTGCATATTGCAGCCATATTGCAATTTTCAAATTAAAATGGATTAATAGAAATGCTTTTCATTTTCAAAATAAAGCTGCACGTTTTGACTCATGAAAAAAATTAAAAATAAATCATCCAAACTGCGTTTTCATTTTCTTCTCCAAGACTGCTCAGTTTGTAAATTAATTAAAATGATAAATAACGTTTAACATTTAATTTATAAAATATATCCCTGTAAAAAGTGACCAAAATTTATTTTGAAATGTCAAATTTAAAATAAAACGAATTAGCAGACTCATAAACGAAATTGCTCATAGATCATCCAAACTGTTTCATTTTAATCTCAACACTACTCATTGTGACAACTACAGAGAAAACTAAGAGGAAACTACTTTTTCATTTTCACGCCCCGCCCTCGTTCCACAAATCACTTTGAATTAGCAATTCCTCTGCTGCCTCACACTGCGAGTAGGACCTGGATGCAGCAAACAGTAAGGAGGCAGCAGAGGAGATGTCACTCTCCTGAGCCGCTTGGAATTGTTAATCTAATCGATTGATGGAACACTTTTTGCATGAGCAGCGCGTGAAAATGAAAAAGCAGTTTTCTCTGTAGATGTGTCACAACGAGCAGTGTTGAGCTGAAAATGAAACAGTTTGGATGATCCATTAGCAATTGCATTTATGAGTCTGCCAAGTCATTTTAATTTTCAAATTTGACATTTCAAAATTAATTTAGCTCATTTTTACATATATATATATATTTTATAAATTAAATGTTAAACATTATTTTATTTATCTTTTAATTTACAAATTGAGCAGTCTTTGAGAAGAAAATGAAAATGCATATTTATTTTCTAAATTTTATTTATGACTCAAAACATGCAGCTTTATTTTGAAAATGAAATGCATTTCTCTTAATCCATTTTCATTTGAAAATTGAGACACATTCGCTTCCATAAGTGATCCGTGAGAACACGTTGATTCACTCCGTTTGTGTTTTTCAGACCCTCTTACGTATATTTCTGCTGCTGCAGCCTCTCTCTCTCCAGGCGTTCCTGTTCTCTCTTCTCTTTTTCCTTCTCCTTCCTGTCAGCGTGAAAAGACGACCCATCCACGTAGTCGCTGGAGATGCCAAAAGCAGCACGAAGACGGTCATTCTTCTGTTGGTTAGCTGCAGCCAGGGCGTGTGTTTCTGTCACACTGAAAGGACACAACAAGCTGTTTTATATCTCCAAGGTGCATCACGAACAAACACCACACTTCAGAGGGGACCTCTTTCCTTCTACCTAGGGCTGGGCAATATGGACCAAAATTAATATCTCGATATTTTAGGATAAATGGCGATATACGATATATAGATCTCTATATTTTTTCTTTCCATGAAGTAATAACAAAAATATATATTTCAGAGTCAAAACTTAGTCCCAATTGTCACACGGGCATCTTTATTAACAAGAGCTGCAACTGTACAAAATAAATGTCTGAAAATAAAATAAAGTTTTTTCCTGCATAACAAAACCAAAATCACAGCTGAGCACTTGAAAGTTAAACAGAAAACATACAGAGCAAACACAATGAAAGGCCGACTTGCTCTTTAAAAAGTCTGATTCTAATGAAGTATATTCATTCAAACTTTAATACCCTGTATTAACAAAGCTGTTAGAACGCCCACATTGGTGTGTAGTTGGCTTGTTTACGGAGCTCGGCTCGGTTTGGTTACAGCGCCTTTCTTTCTGAATTTACTAGTTCCTATGATCTTGAATGCACCGTGCATGTTCCGACGCTAGTGAACGTACCGCTCTGTGTAAAGTGCAGTACTAAGTTGGAGATTTTTTTCTCTCTCCGGGACACGGATGGAGCCTTGTTGTTCAAGCTTGTTTGTGCTTTACTGGTTTACTGCTGTGTGTAAATACCAGAAGAAACACAGCAAATAAATCACCCTAAACTGGATATATTTCTCCATGTCCTTTAATGGGAAGACGAGTGGCCCGACAACTTCATAGCTGCTCTAAAGCAGTCAATAGCTATGTTTACATGGACATAAATAATCGGATCAAACAGCCGTTCGGAATAAAAACGTGTTATGCAAACGCCCCGTTCGAGTTATTTTTTGTTTATTCAACGTGATCCAAAATAATTTGTGATCAGAACAAAACGGGTGGTTTACGCCGATTCAAAACCCGAACGGTGCGCATGTAAACACTTGATCCGTTCGTTTTTATCTGATGGTGAAAAACTGACCTAACTGTGCATGTGCGACTTTGTCATTTCCGCATGGGTAATGCTAATAATATTAGCATGTCAGGGAAGCAAAACTGGTCAATGAGCGACTCATTTCTACTAGAAATCGGCGAACAATGCAACAAACTTCCAGGCTTCCCCAAAGGCTGTGATTTCCCTCTCCATCTCCTGCTATATCACAAAGGACTTGTGAACAAACAACTCAGTCGAAGGGTTTAGGTTTATTTTGAATACGCTGGACCCAACATACGTTCTTACTCCACTTTTTTTTTTTTTGCGATAAAGCAGAACCACAACTTTACCATGAAACAACGAATGGGAGAAGCTCTGATGCAGCTGCAGCTCAAAGGCAACTGTTTTTCCTCATATTATACTAAAACTTATAGACAAGTTGTACAACAAACTTAATGTAATTTGTCTTTAACAGGATGAAGAGAGGCCAAAAAGTTTTTGTGCAGACTTGCACAGGTTTTGAATTTTTGTTAAAGATTCACCAAATATGAATCAATATGGTTAAAAACTGTGAAGTCTGTATTTTATTTTGAGTTAAAGTTTAATGTACTATGATGTACTATGGTAGGCTGAAGTCTGTGTTTATTTTTGTATTTATATACAGACCCTTTCCAAAAAATTTGAATATCATGGAAAAGTTGTTTAACTTCCATAATTCCATTCAAAAAGTTGATCTTTAATAGATGATAGATTCAGGGCCCACAATTTAAACAATTTCAAGTATTTATTTGTTTATTTTTACATAATTTGGGCTTCCAGCTCATGAAACCCACGAAAACAGGATTTCAAAAAATTAAAATAATTGGTAATGTATAACTGGTAATTTAAGTTACACAGAATGTTATGCACTCTTATATTTGTTCCTATTTTTGATATTTTCATAAATAAATGTTCTATTTTGTTTAAATTGTTGTTTAATCTTTTCATCTTGGCAATTACATAATGTAACAATTTATGACCATTTCAACAGAAAAACCGTTTCTGAATCGAAAAATTGATTTTGAAATAATCGTGACACCAAAAATCGGAATCGAATCGCCAGATACAGAGATTCGCACCCCTACCTAATAGATTGAACCAGTTCGAAATAATAAAATTTTGAAACCATCTAACGTCCAGGTGAGTGAAGGAAGGAGCAGGTTTAAACACAGCTCAGAGGAAGCTGTCAGATTATTGTTTGCTTCAAAGCTTCAGATGTGAAGCTGGACTGTCCACAAAGGTTAAGATACGAAAAGGTTCAATGAGCAGGTGTGGCCGTGATGCCACATAAATGTAGATTTTTTTACACAAAGCGTTTGTGTTGTACTTACGCTGGTTTCTGGGTGGCAGATGGAGGCGGCTCCTCCTTCTCCTGCAGCATCATGCGAAAACTGTTCACCTTCTCCTCGATCTCCTCGGCAGAATATCTGAGTGTTCAAACACAGACAAGTGTTTTAATGAAGACAGAGAGGACGCACACTGCTGTTTAGGATTTTCCACCACAGTGGCCAATTTTTCATCTTCTGCCACTTCTTTGTAGTTGAGCTGTGGAAGCCACAGGTCCAGGAGAGAATCGCAGACCTTCCCCTCCAGCTCCTCTTGGGTGGCCCCAAGGAGTTCCCAAGCCAGAGAGGATACAAGTACCTCCAGAGAGTTCAGGGTCCAAAGAGAGGTGTCTTAACCAGACAAACCTGACTTCAAAGCTGACTTCTTTCAAAGAAGCAGCAGCTTCTAATTATTGTCAAATTTCAAACAATATTATCGTTTATCGCAATAATTTCTGAGACAATTAATCGCCCAGTAAAATTTGTTCACGTGACAGGCCTATCCATGGTTCAGTGGGATTAACATGTTTAAATAAAGGTTGAATGAATGAAAAATAGAGTTTAAAGCTAAGCCTGCCAGAATGTGTGTTGGTTCCATGCAATCTGTGAGCTGTTGAACTAGACAGTTGTATACCAAGAACTGGTGTATGTTAAAAAACAGTCCAGCTGAGTATAAAAATGAATCTTGGTTAAAAGCAGAATAAATACCGTAATTTCCAGACTATAAGTCACTACTTTTTTTACAGGCTTTGAACACCACGGCTTATACAATGCTGCGGCTAATTTATGGATTTTTTTTTTAAATATTTTTTAACGGGCTAATGAGATTCATGGCATCAAAAACATTTAGCCTCATCACACCTTGGGCGCTCACAGAGCTGATCTCTTGGGGGGGGGGGGTCCTCATGACTTTATGAGACTACCTGTATAAATAAAGGTTTAAAAAAAATCTGACTAATGAAATTACCAAACAGGTCGCAGTGTGTGTGTGTGGGGGGGATTTTTGTTGAAGTTTGCTATCAATGACTTCCTGGTAGGCTTTCTTTTTTTTTTTTTTTTTACCAATAGTGTTACCGGCACCGTTAAGAAAAAAACTTAATGTATTAGTGTATGTTACTGGTACATATTTAATTAAAAGGTTGTTTTTTTTTATCTTTCTGTGAAAATATCTCATGTTACAACATGGACACCTGCAGCTTACAGACAAGTGCGGCCTATACAAGTACAAAATTATTTATTTTTAATTTAGTGGGTGCAGCTTGTATTTGGCTTATATAGTCCAGAAATTACTGTAGGTAAAATGTATTAAAACATGCAATTCACATATTGTGAATTATCATGTAAATGGGCGATTGCGTAGATACTGACAGTTTAAAGGTCACGGTACATGAAGGAAATTTATTATATACACACACATGTATTTGTTTTGCATATAAGGAACAGTATTATGCTGCAGTTTGAAAATACATTTGATTGAATTAAAAAATATGTCAGAAGCGAGGCATTGAGAAACTTTACCAGCTGTCTGTCTCATAATTTCCCTGTGTTTTACAGGAACATTTAATCTGTTTAACAGGCTCAGACCCTGGGTCTGTTACAAGTCCTCGTGACTCATTGAGACTATTGAATGAATGAATTAAATGCTGACAGTAATACATCAATCCTGGGGACTTCTTACCCCTGCTCCTCCATCATGTCCTGCAGCTCGGCACATTTCACCTCCAGCTGCCTCTTACGTTGGTGCTCCAGGATGTCGGCGTTGGGCTGCCTGTTGAGCTGACTCTCCAGCCTCTCCCGGTCCTTTTCGTCCCGCTCGCCTCCACGCTCATCCCGTGGACGCTTGACCCGCAGGCTCGACAGGTTCCGCTGCACGTAACCATTAGTTCCGCTGCCCCGCGGAGTCGTCAGACCAATCCCATTGTACATGGCTCTGCAAAAACAAAAGAACACTAAATATTCAACAATAGTTCAATAGGCGCATTAAATGCCGTTTTATAGGTTGAATTTTAGAGATAGCCTTAAGACTAACTTATGGGTTGAATTTTAGAGATAGCCTTAAGACTAACATTTAAAATTACACTTTAATTTTCTCAACGGGTTCCAGTACTCAGACTGAGACAAAAAGCAGCCAAAGTCCAAAAGAACAGCTGGAGGTCACCAGAATCACTTAAAGATTACAGGGAATATTTTTAGATATGCATGTAAATACCAAAACGCGTTGTATTGGTTGTGTTTTATTTTTTGATTAAAATATATCAGTTCATAAGGTCATAAAATAAAATAAAAACAAATCACGTCACGAACAAGATATTTTACTAAACAAATTAAAAATGTGGGCCATATCTCGACCATACGAGTGGTTCTGAACATCTCTGGACTCCATCAAACACAGATTTTAGTCATATATTATAGTTTTGTTGAGTAATCATCGAATTTCTTGCGCATCAACATGTGCGTCAAATGAGGCCTCGTAGCTCCGTCTGAACAAGATTAAATTTGTTCCGTGATTCTGTAAATAAAACCATTCGGGTCCAAAGAAATCAGACTACTAAAGCGTCTAACATTAGTGGTGACTGTTTCTTGGTCCAGATGTTAAAGGTTAGCGCAGTTTCCACCTTTGTCAGGAAGGCCCAAAAACGAAAGCCCGACTGTTCACGCCTAAAATTGCTAACGCAACGACTACGTACCAGCTTGTATTTTTCTCTCCTGAAAAGATAATTAAATCCGTGTATGAAAGATTGTGTCGTTAGACGAAGTCTTGTAGAATCAAAATGTTCGAAACCAGTAAAACCCGCGTCTTTAAAACTTAAAAAAATAACAAAATTGCTGCTAGCTCCGTTAGCTACGTGCTAGTACTCAGATACAGGAGGATGAGAGAAATCCTAATGACGTCACACACACGCGTGCGTACGTCTACGCGTTCAGCGTGCTGCGTTCAAGTGCTGAAAGTGTTTATCGTCCAAGTAGGAATGTCTTTCTCCACTCCAAATCTTAAAACTTCTCATTAATTAGACAGTGCTAAAAAAACACACGCACACAAGCAAAAAAGCTCTCTTATCACCTCACTCAGATAATGTAGCCCTCTAACAAATTATCTGAGTAGTTATGTATATAATGTTGGATAAATAGTTATGTTTTGATTTTACTTTTATCATATTATTCGCTAATTCTATTATACTAATAATGTTACTTATACTTAAATTTGTGCTGAATATTTTAACTTGTCTATGTATATGAGACGGCCTACTTGTGGACTTCAGAAGGAACAAAAATACCTACACACCCCTGAACATAAGAGGATCTGTAGTGGAAGTGGTCTCCAGCTACAAGTACTTGGGTGTACACATGAATGACAACCTCAGCTGGAGCAACAACACCACCAGCCTGATCAAGAAAGCTCATAAGAGACTCTACTTCCTCAGACGGCTGAGACGAGCTGGTCTGGGAAGCTCAGTCCTCACCTCCTTCTACAGGTGTGCAGTGGAGAGCATCCTGTGCTCCAGCATCAGCGTGTGACATGGAGGCTGCACAGCTGCAGAAAGAAAAGCTTTGCAGAGAGTGGTGAAGGCTGCACAGAAGTCTGTTGGAGTCAGCCTCCCCACCATCGCAAACATCTACACCTCTAGATGTAGGAATAGGGCCACCTGCATCATGAAGGACCCCACTCACCCAGCGCACACACTTTTTGCCCCGCTCCCATCAGGAAGGAGGTTGAGGAGCATTAAGTGTAGAACCACTAGACTGAGGAACAGCTTCTACCCTGAGGCTGTTGGACTCATGAATCTCTAACCAGAATAATCACTGTGAAAAAAATCACATCATGTTGCTGCTGATCTGGTTCAATGTTTATGTGTTCATGCGTGCTCATCTGCTTACTCAGACTCATGTTCATGTTTGTGCTGATGTTCGACGTAGTGTTTTTATGCTATTAGTGCTTAGTGTATATTTAGTTGATGTTTTTCTTAGTTCATATCTTGTCATTGCCATTGTTATCAATGATTTTCTTACATTTGATTGTTGGATGTAACTGGGACCCTGTGTACATAATTTCGTTCCACAATATGTACCAGATGTGGTGTGAACGACAATAAAGAATCTCTGACTCTGACTAAAGTAAAATTATTTTCAGAAGCCTCAGAGCTAACACTAAATTAAAGAAAGTGAACTTCTAGCCACTCATGAAACATCCATAAAGAAATATCTAGTATTCCAATTAAATATGAAATTAAGTATTTAGGAACTGTTATAGGGCAGCACGGTGGCACAACTGGTAGAGCTGCTGCCTCTCAGTGAGCAGGTCCTTGGTTCAAACCCTGGGTGGAGTTTGCATGTTCTCTCCGTGCATGTGTGGGTTTTCTCCGGGTGCTCCGGTTTCCTCCCACAGACCAAAAACATGCATGTTAGGCTGATTGGTAACTCTAAATTGTCCCTAGGTGTGAGTGAGAAAGTGAATGGTTGTTTGTCTCGTTTGTCTCTATGTGGCCCTGTGATGGACTTGCGACCCATCCAGGGTGTACCCCGCCCCTCGCACAGTGATTGCTGGACATGGGCACCAGCGACCCCCGTGACCCAAAATGGAATAAGCGGGTAAAAGATAATGGATGGATGGATGGAACTGTTATAACCAAAAACCAAGAATCAACTCCAACAATTGAAAACAAAATCAAAGAATGTAATCCAAACTTTACTCACGGCTCCAACGTGACCTTTCTATATTAGGATGAATTCACTTATCAAAAATGGAAAGTTTGTCAAGATTAATATACTCAACTTTTAGTACCGCTGTCCCAAATAGCTTAATCAATCAAATGAACATGAACTTCATCTGGAGAAACAGACCACACACTACCTGAAAAAAGGTCACATGGTCAAAGAATATAGAGATTGTGGTCTGAAAGTAATTGACTTTGAGTGCCTCAATGGAACCCTTAAGATTAATTAGTTGAAATCCTGGATTAAAAATTCTGAATCACTTTGGTATTGTGTCACAATTATATATTTAACAAAATAGGTGGTCTAAAACTACTACTTCTAGCAGATTTCAGTATACATAAATTGCCCATCAAATTACCAGAGTTCCATAAACAAGTGTTATTATATTGGAAAATGCTCTACGTACATAATTACTCACCACACTCCACTATCATATGGATAACAGATTCATACTATATCACAATAAATCATTATTTTACAAAGATTGTATGGAGAGGAACATTTGGTCTGTTGTACACTTAATGGATGCTAATGGTTACATGTTAAACTACGAACAATTCTGTGCAAAGTAGAAATTATATCCCCCCAAAGTTGAATTTACCAGATTACTTAAATCATTACCAAAACAATTTATTAATCAGATTCAAAATATAAGAGCATGTCATCCTATAACCCCACAATTACCCACTCTATCTATTAATGGAATATCATTTACTGACAAAAAAATTCAACAAGCACACAGTTAGAAGCTGTCTGAACAAAACTTTATTCCCTGGAAAATAAATAAAAATAACATACTTTGCAAATAAATAAAAAAATCAAATGAAATGTTAAGAACTCTATATTTAAAACTCCCCAACCAAAGGCTAAAAAAACACACTTTAAATTTTTAAATGCAGTTTATCCTCCAAAGAGCTACTAAGAAATTGTTTTAATATTGATGACAATAAATGCTCATTCTGTGAACAGGATATAGAAACAATAGACCATATCTTCTATGAATGCAACAAAACCAAAATATTTTGGAATCACTAAGAAAGATGGATCACACTGAAAATTAAACTTCCTAAATTTATTTCCAGAGACATGGTAACATTTGGAGTATTAATGAAAAACAAACAAACAAAAAAATGGAACTTGGTTGTAATCTGATATTTTGTCTGGAATTTTTTTTTATTCACAAGTAGAGAGTGCTAAAATCATCCCCAGTTTTTAACCTTTTTTATCTGAATTCCTATTATATTTGAAATCTCTGAAATATATCGAAACACGTAAAGACCTGTAAGGAATTGCCAACTAATGCATGTTAATCCTAATCCTAAAACATATACCCCCTTGTTGTAGTTTGTTTTATTTTATTTCTTCTTTTTTCTTTCTTTCTATCCTTTTTTTTTTCATATCTAAGTCTGCTTCTGCTATGCCCTTTTACAGTTACACTATTGTGAATTGCCATATTTGTATGTACTTGTTTTTGCTAAATAGTTTTCCTAATCCAAAAAAAAAAAAAAAGAAACAAGACTCGTTACCCAGAATCCACCTGGAAGCGCATGACGCCATCCTTGTACCCAGAATGCACATGGCGCGTGACGCAGCCTTCAATATAAAAGCCTCCTGCGTCACTGGAGAGCTGCTGAAATAGGAGTGAGACATACTGTCCGCTGCACTGTGGCTTGTTTTTCTGATGTTTTAAGGACATTTGTCCCAAAGCTCACCTTCATATTCCCTTAATAATGGCCGAAGGCGACAACAAAAGCGCAAACCTTTTAGTGAGTATATTTTCCAAATAATTGTGGTTTTAGACTGTTCGTTCTGATCTGGGTGTGTTAGCATTGTTAGCATGAGCTTCTGCTACTAATCAGCGCGCTCAAAGTCCAGGCTACTTTATGTTTGAGCTCTAAGTTTATTTATTTCATCATTAGTTAACGAGAACACTGCACAACGAGCTGCTGCTGGTTTCTAATGGCAGCTAGCTGGGTGGGTTAAGACATCTTAAAGGAAACGTGAACACAGCAGGGTCACTGCTTCAAGGAAACATGATGAACACAGCGGGTTCACTGCGTCAAGGAAACTTTTAAGAGAGCAGGTTCACTGCATCAAGGAAACTTTAAGAGAGCAGGTTCACTGCATGAAGGAAACATGAAGAGAGCAGGTTCACTGCATGAAGGAAACGTGAAGAGAGCAGGTTCAC